TAAGTAAAATTATATATATAGGCAAAATAAAATTGCATTTATCCCTAATAGAGAAATTTAGAAGAACGGACAAAAACACTGATATCTCTCAAACTGGAGAAAATTTAGTGAAACAAACGCAAACCAAACTTCGGTGGGTTTTGTCGGCCCTGCCTCGTCGAGATAGTCTATTTTCTTATATAATTCGTCTAATTTCGACTAATGGTTTGAAAGTTATGACTCGTTCTTCGCAGTAAGTTATGTTCCTCGACACTTGAACTTCGCCTGCAAGACTAGGGTTCGCCTGAACCAAGCTAAGTCTACTTGTTCGCCTGAACATTCAAGGTAAGTCCGCCTAATATCGTTTGAATCAAATAAGCAAAGCCAATTTTGCGTGAATACTTGACTCTTCGGATAAGGCCAAGTTCACCTAAACATGGAGCTTTTCCTGAACGAAGTTAAGCTCGCCTGCATGTTCCAAGCTCGCCTAAACGCTTAACTTACAAAGCTCTCCTGCATGAGCGAAGCTCGCTTGAACGCTTGTAGCTCGTCTGAATTAATTGAAGCTCGCCTGATAACTTCGCATACGAGGTTCGGCCGCATACTCCAACCTCACCTGCATGAGCCAAGCTCGCCTAAACGCTTGAAGCTCGCCTGATAGTTTTGCCTACAAGGTTCACCTGCATACTCCAACCTCGCCTGCATGTGCCAAGCTCGCCTGCACAACTTGACCAAGTCAGCCACTAAAGCTTGAAACGTGGAAGTGGTTGTGCCCATTTTTCACGTTTTGAGGGGGTGGTTACTAGTCATTCTCCTCTATAAAAAGCCATTGATGGCTACACGAAAATGGGGGCAGAAAAGAAAGGAAAGGTGCGGAGGCAAGGAGATGAACCTAGCATCTTGTGCACTCGGCTCTCAAATATCCTACCTTGGGTATTTAAACTCCGATAAAGGTTCTACCACGCGACGAAGCTTATTGGCAGTTTTGTTCGAATCCTCAGGAGAAGAGGACCAAACTTCAAGATCTCGGCATACACGGCCTACAAGCAATCAAGCACTTGTTCGGCCTTCGAACTCATCTAACCAAACTTCTACCACACACTGAAGTTTGTCCGCAACCTCGTTCGAATTGTCAAAGGAAAGCAAACTCGACACGAGCATCAACGGAGGCATCCTATCACCCTAAAGAACCCACATTAAACAAAGAGAGATCGAATTAATTCTCTCTGCTTATGTGTAAAAGTGATTTCAATTTGTAATAAACACTTCAATTTAATATAAATTTTAAGATCTCATTTTACGAGAAATAGAAGATGTTGATCATAGTGGGAGATACTATTCTTTCAGATGAAATGGTGGTGGGGAAATTTGACGAGATTGCTACAGGGACGACTATTGAGTCCCTCGTTATAGAGTTCGATCAAGCGAAGTTCGAAGAGTACTTGTCTTCGGCTTCTTCTAGCGGCAAGGCGTCAGGCAAATGCCGCAAAGTAATACGTGTGTGTAAAACCCCAAAAATTTGAGATAATATAATTAATATCTGATTAATTATTATAAGTGGATTGTGAAGCCCCTGGGTTCACACAAGGCTGCAGTCCAAGGTGAATCCAATGATGTCAAACCTGCCATGCACCCATACTGTGCAACGATATATTTCACCATCACAGAAATATCTCTCTAGTGGAATTAATAAAACAGTACATGTACAAGTAGATATAAAAGAGATGAATATAGAAAGTCAGACATGGAAGTAAATGATAAGTCTCATAAATGGTCAAGTCTTAACTGAGTAAAGTTGTTCAACAATCTGATACAAAAGGATAAACGTCTCAATACACCGAGTCAAAAGAAAATACATAGGCTCTCAACTCTCAAAATGAAATACAAATCTAATAATCCAATAAATACAAGACTAAACATTGGTGGAGCAAAAATAACTAATAAATGAAATGACAGTGACTATACTGAACGTCCGTCAACCTGCGGCTCTCTGAAACTCTGCTTCGCTACCTGAAAAGAAGTTTAAAACAAAAAGAACAATAACAAGAGCGTCAGAGCACTACAGCAAGATCATCTTCATCCTCCCCCAGGGGGAAGTGTTACTAAGTATGATGGAGGCTCTACCTATAAGTGCATAGTCTACCTAGATCATTTTCCCAAACGAGACATAGTACGTCGAGCAAAATAATACAAACAAGGAAACCCTCATGTATATAACATATGTCTTAAATTGTAGATACCTAAACATTAATACCGAACTAGAGACAAACACTATAAAGAAAATTAATAATTATAAACCCACAACACGAGACTAGTACGTCGAGCGAAATAATCCAAACAAGGAAACCCTCATGTATATACCATATGTCTCAAATTGTGAATGGCTAAATATTAACTCCAAAACTAAGAATAAATGAATATAAAAAAGATAATACAGGAAATACCACATCATACATCTCCAAAAATATCATATCAACTCCTCATACTACCCTTAGTAGGTAAAACAGATATCGACACACTTGTGTATCTAAGTTGTGAAATACTTTTACAATGGATCATATCGATGATGTCAATATTCACCTACACTTAGGTTATTTATCGAATCTGTTGGCCTTCTTGTTTTAATGATGTTTAACAAACAATTTATGATAAATATTGCTTGTCTAGTATTTGTGTTTATCTATTTATTATAGACAAAGAACATGTTAGAGGATGGATGGAA